TCAGACACACTTTTTAAAATGAAATCCAGCTCTCATGAGGGAAAGACAACAACACCAATAATAATAATAATAATAATAATAATAATAATAATAATAATAATTACAAAGCCTGCCTGGCGCAGCCTGCGAGGCACCATCCCTGCAGCACAACCATCTCCAACCCCCAGCAGGACTGAAGGACCACTCGTGCTGTCCCACCTGTGACATTATCCATCCCGTGGTCACACTATGGAGCTGCTGTCACCCAGTTTCTCCAAGAGCTGTAAGATGAACCATTCCTGATTAGCAGCACAATACTCCAGGAGCAGCAAGGAGACCGTGCTGACCTCCTCCCGCATGCCCACAGTGCTGCTTTAATGCAGCAATGCCAGCAACTTCTATCCCCCAAGGACTGCATCCCCAAAGGTCCACACCCAGAGAGCCTTGCCCAGCGCCCTGCTCACCTTGTTCAGAACAGGGATATTCACCAGCGAGCCCAAAAAGCCAAAAGCCACGGGGAAAAAACTCCTGCACCAAAACAAAAGGCTCTGTTAAGCCTGCCACGGTAGGTGCTGGTGGCATGGGTTGGTTTTGTGTGGGTCCACGCAGACCTGAAGAGTGTGATGAAGCCATAAGCTTCCAGCAGCATCCCCAGGAGCGGCCAGCGCATGAGGACGATGAGGACCCCCCCAAGGAAGAAGCTGCTGCCCTTCATCTTTTGCCTTTGGAAGAAGAAGGTGAAGGTCCTCCTGAAGCCGATGATGAAGACCAAACCGGAGAGAAAGAGGATCTGGGAGGAGGCAGCAAGGAGGGGTGAGAGCAGCCCTGCCCTATGGCCACTTTGCTCCAGAGATCTCCCCCCCCCCCCCATGCCATACTCACGTTCCCAAAGGCCAGCAGCACCGAGTCGAAGTATAGGAGCATCCCAAAGAGGATGAAGAAGATGCCGAAACCGACCAGCCCCACACCAACCCCTGTGGAGGATGGGCTGAAATGAGGGTTTGGATGCACTGCTCTGCTCCCACCCAGGCAGCACTCGCTTTGCTCAGGGCCACCCCGTCCCATTCCCTCCCAGAAATGTCCCTGTGATTTCTCTCCCCCCTGCTGAAGTCCCAGGGAGGCTGTAAACCCTATGAATTCAGGGTGGCTGCAAGGTGTAGAATCAATCACAGGGTAAACTAACCAGGAAGGTCACCCTCCACACGACCCCAGGTGGTTGCACGAAGGGTGGAACAGAGGTTCTGGTGGGGGCAAGGGGCTGGGCACCTCCCTGCTTGCATTCCATACACAGCCCCCTCCCCACTGTGCCAATCCCCCTGTGAATCACATCCAACCCATGACCCCAGCACCATGCAGTTTGCCATCACCCCCTCTCCCTTCCCCGGTGCCCCCAGCCCCACTGTGGGGTCAGCACCCCCAGCACCCCCCACGAGCATCCCACCCTGGTGCCCAACTCACTTTGGAAGTCGCTCAGAGTCACCATTTTGCCCCACTGCTCCTCGTGTCGGGCGCTTCCCAGCAGTGACCCTTGGAAAGCCCTTTAGTCCCCACGTCATCCTGCAAATCATTAACGGCCCTGCAGCTGCTCAGGGTGGGGGGGGGGGGGGGGAATCTCCCTATGGGGCACATGCAACCCCATGCTCACCCCAGTTTGCAAAGGGGATGGCTTTAATCCACGGAGGTTTTTGCCTGGTATCAGTGTGATTTCTTTTGCTCCGGCTGAGGGCTGCGCAGCTGCATTCAAAATAATTCCCAGCTGGGAAAAAGAGACATCAGTGGGAAAAAGAACCCCAAGAAAGGATGAGAGGAGAGCACACGTGGGCTGAGCATCGTCTGTCCCACACCCCTTCAATCCAACACTGCAATCAGTACCTGTGCACAAACGACACCAACATGGCGCTGTTTCGGAGATGCTTTTATTTCTCTAACGCTAGCCAAAAAAAAAACCCCAAAAAACAACCCAAAAACAACAAAACCCCCCAAAATCCAGAAAACAAAACATCGCCCCCCTCCCCAACCCCCCCCACACCCAGTGCATAAATAGATTTCCTCCCAATGCCAACTCTTCTCTCTGTTACGAGTCGCTGCTGCATGAAAGCGGTACGAAAAACAAGAACCGAAATCAAAAACTCAGCATCCAAACTGTTATTTTTTTTTGCCCTTTTTTTGTTGTTGTTGTCGTCGTCGCCATTGCTGTTTTCTTTAAAAAAAAAAAAGAAGAAAGGAAAAAAAAAAGCCCCAAAGGACCCCTTTCCATTGCACTGCAGCTGTGGGATGAGGACACAGTGGGTTCCCATCTCCTACAGCCATGGCAGAGGCCCAGTGCCCCCCAGCCAACCCCCCCTGCACAAAGGGCTCTGCCCTGCACACCCCCCAGCTGGGGAAATAAAGGCGTCACCTCTTCCACCTTACGCTCTCTTTACACACACATATATATATATATTTTATTTTTAAATAAATTTGCTTTTCATAAAAGCAGAAAAAAATATATGTGTATATATATATATATTGTTTTTTTTTTTAATTTTAATTTTTATTATTATTTTTTTTAATTTTAAATTTTCTGATAAACTGGCAAAGAATCTGCTCTCGTTGTGCCGACAACCCTGCGGAGAGATCAGCACAAAACTACCTCCCAGAAAAGAAGAGAAAAAAAAACAAACCCCATCTATATATATATATATATATACGTATATAATAAATGTATAACTCTCCATAAAACATATATTAAGGCATGTAATAGCAAAATAAAGGGCCAGCTTTATGAGCTAAGGGGGTTGCAGGAGGAGAGGGGGACTGGGGTTCCTGGGATCCTATGAGTATTGCTAAGAGCTGGGGGGGGGGGGGGGGGGGGGCAGGGGGGGGCCCCCACAGGACCCCCCCCTGGGGGCCCCGCCCCCCCCCCCCCCTCCCCCCCCCCCCCCCCCCACACGTTGCTGTGTTTTCAGGCAGAAACAGCGTTTTTCCCTCCGTTTGGAAAGCGAAAATAAAATGAAATCAAGGATAGGCTCGCAGTAGGAGAAATGACCAAGCTGACGTGGTTGGAGTGCAATGGCGTGTGGTGAGACCAGAGGGATCCAGTCCATGCTGCGCAGCTGAGGTGCCCCCTCCTTGTCCCCACATCCATCCCCGGTGCTGCGGGAGAAGGAATCCCTCCTCCAGCACAGAAGGCTGCCCAGGGAGTGCTGCATGTGTCATGGAATTCCTGCTGGGCCACCTGGGCTGTGACAGAGGTGACCATGAGCAAAGCGTTGCTACCACCTGGAAGCATTCACGGCTCCGACCCGGTCCCTTCCTTGTCACCATCCCCATCCATCCTGCAGATTGCTTGCTTGGCCCATCGGCTCCGCTCCGTTCCTCTGCTCCTTCCCCACATCCCCTGTCCCTGCCTGCACCTGCTGCTCCATGCCCACGGCTCTGTGCTGGGCAGCCCTCACCATCCCGGCCCCTGGGACACCTGTGTCCCATTGTGTCCCCTCTCCGTGCGCCCTGTTCCCACTTGCAGCCACCATGAGGCTGGCACCTCCCTCCAGCAAGGTGCTGAAAGCTTTCAGGGCACAGCCAGGAGCACAGATGCACGTGGAGAATGCACCATCCATAGTGGAGACGGCCCCCTTTGTGTGACCAATGCACAGAGAGCTGAGGGGTGCTGCACTCCTCCAGAGCTGCACATGTCCCTCCATGCACCCAGGACAACGCAGCTGTGTCCCAGTGCTGGGTGGAAGCTCAGTGTCCCCAGTCCTTGGGGATGGCGCTTATGGCATCTGCACAGCTCCTCCAGGATGGGGCAGAGCATTGGAGCTGCATCTTCCCCTCTCATCCACCCCAATGGTGATGCCATCGATGGGAAGGAGGGAAGGGGTCCAGGAGAACCAAAAACGATGGCGCAGAGAGGGTCAGTGTCGAGCCATGGCGCGTGTAGTGCTGCACTAGAACGTGGCCCCATGAGACTTGATGGCACCAGCGGCTGCCAGGGCTTGAGCTGGAGGGAGAGGAGCAGAGCTGAGTGCTGTGATCCCTACAGACGCCCCCTGAGCAGCCTGGAGTAAAACCCCACAGATTCAAACCCACGCCCAGCACCTCCTGGGGAACAACACCTCCTGGGGGGCAGCAGCCAGCTCAGCCCCATGCCCACACCGGGGTCCCTGGTTGGGTCCCACACCACAGAGGACACTGCACTTGTTCCATAGGAGGAGACGGGGCTGACGTGGCTCGGAGTTGTTAGCTGGAGCAAGCAGTGATGGATGGAGGCCGGGTGGAAAAGACACCGGGGGGAGTGGCACCCCCCCGCCCATCCCTGGGTGGAGAAGATGGGATGAAGTACAAGAGAAAAGGTCCTTACTTCATGGCTCAGACACGCATAAAATGGCTGCAGTCGGCGACCCGGGATGGTTCAGACGAGAGGGGGTTGGTCGGTGGAGTCGGGGAAGCTGGGGAGGTGGGAGGGCTTGGGGTAGCGCATTGAGCTGGAAACAAGAAATGGGAGAAGGGAATGAAGAACACAAGCTGAGGGCAGCAAGAGGGGAGGAGGCAGCACAGCGGGTATGTTAGCGAGGGGAGGAAACCAAGAGGAAGGAAGGGAGGAAGCAGGGCGAGCAGCCACTGCCCGGCTGCAGCACGCACACGTGAGCTCCCCCAGGGCTCCTCCTGGACAAGGCTGTGGGCACTGTGTGCCACCACTGGGCATGGGCAGTGCTTCCCCATCCCTGAGCGCTTCACGTTGGGTTCCTTCCCTTTGGTGTGGGGTAGGCAGCTTTTGATGGTGAGCACTCCATTCTGCAATGCTCGGTGCTGCTGCCCTGGCAGCTGCAAGCATCACCTGGCTTGGCTGCTGCACGGCACTGCATTACAGCAATGCTGGATGCCCTCTGTGTGCACAGCCCCTGTTTCTTTGCTGCCATCACCCGCTCACTGAATCTGCTTGTTCCACACTGCAACAGTTCTTTCTGTCCATCTGGTACCTGCAGTCCCTCTCCTGCAGAGCTGGCAGGCAGTGGGTGTGCACCCCAGACCCTCCATGCCTTACCCGATAGCATGCGGCCCCGGCGGGATGCCTCAGCAGCCAGAGCACATGAGATCTCTATCCTCTTCTCCTGCTCCTGCAGCTGTGTTTCGGGGTCCTGGGGAGCGTCCACTTCACCCTCACCCAGGGGGATGACGTTCTGCAGGCTGCAGGGACAGCACTGGCTCAGGGGGATGCACCCAGATGCTGGGGATGGGGCGCACACCGTGGGTATTGCACCTCACCTGGATTTGGCAATGAGGGTTTTTATCCTTTCCACCTTCTTTTGCTTCTCCTTCATTTCTTCGGGGCTGAGTGGCGTGTCAGGCTCCAGTTCAATGTACCTCTCAGGGATGAGGACTTTGTCCGGCGTGGATAGCTGGGTGCAGAGCCGAGCTGAGCAGTGCTCAGCAGGGCCTCATCCCCTCCCCAGCACACACAATCCCCACACAACCACCCCTAGCTCTCAGTACACCAGACACAGGCATGGAAGCAGCACTCACTCCAGCACCAGGGCCCCACGCAATGCAGAGGCTGGATTGATCCTCCAGCAGAGGGGATGCCCCGTGCCCACGTCTCCATGGAGCTCCTGTCCTCACCTCCTTGTTGATGTCCACATCGTAGTGCTGTGGCTCCAGCTCCATTTTGCGCAGCCGGGCGATCTCCTCTCGGGGTGTCTCGTGCACCTTGCCAGGTTCATCAGACCGCAGCGCTGCCTCCAGGTCAGAGATGTCCACCTCATGGATGCTGCGGTGCCGGCGCACCTGCGTGAACCACAGCCTTGCTGAGCCCCCATACCCAGCAAACAGTGCCCTGCCACAGCCCCGAGTGCCCCTTCTGCTCCTTCAGGGACCTCAGCCCAGCCCACAAAGCCAATCCTGCTTTGCACCCAGTGGGTGCATGGACTCACCACTTTGTAGGACGTGGGTGCCTTCGTGCCAGGGGTGTCTGGCTGCTGGCTGCCGGGCAGCTGCAGGCTGCGCCGCTTCTCCTTCATGGAGCCGCTCTGGTGGCGTTTCATGCGGTCAATCTGCTCCTCCACGCTCATCTTCACCTTTGTCTCATTGGCAAACACGGCGCTCTTCGGTCTCTCCTGGGGGAAGCCCAGCCCCATTGTCACACCCTTCCCCAATGGAACAGAATCCAGCCCCATCCAGCTGTGCTGCATCACTCTGTAGAGGGCTGCCGTGCTCAGCCTGCTCCTGGGACACCCAAACTGTTGGGTGTGCCCCAGCCAGGTGCTGAGACACAGCGACGCGTCCTCCCTCCTCTCCAGACGGCGCTGCTGAGCCCCCAGCTGCCAGCCCAGCCCCTGGCACTGCCCACCCTGCCCAGCCCCCTTCAGCAGCCCCTACCCGGGAGCCCAGCCCGTTGGCCATGCCGCTGGCACTCCTCCTCAGCATCCCTGTTGTGGGCACCACCTCCTCCTCCGTCGGGGATTTGGTTCGGGGCGGCACAATGCCCACTGCAGGACAAAGCAAAACACGGAGCTGAGCCCCTCTGGGGATGCAGAGCAGAGTCCTGGTCATGCACAGATAGAGAGCTGCAACTTGTTGTACAAATGCTTCCCGTGGCCAGGGCAGCTCAGTGAGTCTGTTGGAGGGGACCCTCTGGGTGGCACCTACCTTTGTTGAGGGCAGCTTGTTTTTCTGCCTCCTGCTCCTGCCGGCTCAGCAGCCCCTCAGCAGTGGAGCTGGGGGCAGCCGCTCGCTGCGCCTCCTTCTTGCTTTGCTCCAAGCTTGGTTTGGGCTGTGGGGAGAAAGTGAGTCTGTGGTGAAGCTCTGCTCTGCTGGGCCACACAAACTGCCTGGGCACAGCATGCTGCCATGGGTTGGCACACAGCCTCAGGAGCAGGTGGACAGACAGACACTTGTCTAGGCAGTCTCTGTGCTCCCCAAATGAGCTCCACCAGTGGCAACATGGGCTATGAGGGCTCCGCAGCTCTCGCCCAAACCCATTGGGGCCAGGCACTCAACGCTGTACTGGTGACGCAGTTCTGTGTGGGACAAGCTGTCTACAGGGGGACAGTCCTGACACGGCTCACAGGTGGTACCCAAGAGCTGCAGGATGGAGGTGCCCAGTGCTGAGCTCCAGCCCCTGTGTGCAGGAGGGAACGGGGCCCTGTAGGACAGCAGACAGCAGCAGGTAGCAAGCCAAGTCTGCTTTCAGAGTCCTGCCTGGTAATAGTGCAACAGATCCAGCATGATGGAGAGGGTCAGGGAGAGGCTGAAGAGTGCAGTGTGACCCCACACCGCTGTCCTGTACTCTGCATGGAGATGGTGTACCCCAACAACCCTTTACATCACGCAGATCAACACAACCATGACTGTGGTTACTCTGTGGTTGCATGGACGCTGGAGGTGCTACTTGCACAAGCAAACATTCCCTGTTTTCACAGCCCCACATGCATGCATTCTGAGCCCCTCTCAGGACCACCAAGTTGCAGGAATGCTTCTGTCTTCCAGAGTACAAACATGGTCTCATTCCCAGGCTGAGATGTCACCAGAGATCCTTAGTGTACTCATGTGGTCACCCCAGGCCAGCTGAGCCCCTGGCGCAGCGGGGAGTGAAAGGACAGCAAGAGAGGACAGGGCAGAGGAAAGTAGAGAGGCTGCAGCAGATTTGCATCTCCTCCAGCTGCCCAGGAGAAGCCTGTCCCTGTCCTGAGCATGTGCACCAGCACAGGGGACTTGGAGAGGACATGGCGAAGCCACCATGGGGACCTGTGCCTCTTGGAAAGGCAGTGCCACGTGCTGCTGTCACCCGAGCATCACCTTTGTGGGCAGCCCCATCCTCTGGTACCAGCCTCTGAGGAGGGAGGAAGGGAGGGATGGAGGGAAGGGACGCTTTTTGGGGCTGCCTTGGAGAGGTTCTGGTACCTGTCCCCTCTGCGACTCGCCGCCTCGCTGCCAGGAAGGGGAGGTGGGGTACGGCCAGGGGCGGCTCTCGCTAGGGAGTGGAGGTACGGTCGGAGGAGGCTCCAGGGGGATGTACGACTTGGGGAGGGGAGGTCGAGGCGGGCCGGGTTCCTGGGGTGGAGAGGAGCATTTAGGCGTGAGAGCAGAGAAACTAAGAGATGGGAAGGAAAAGAGAGTTAGAAAGAGACGGAGACAAAACACAGTGAAAGGCCAGGGCAGGAGGAGGAAGTGCAGTGGTTGCTGCCTGCTGGGTTTCCCCATGCACAGGGGGTTGTTTCCCACCTCCCAGTAGGGTCAGGCAGGGCTTGGAGCTGTCAGCCCCCAGGAGACAATCAGCATTGCTTGGCACAGCTGTGGGGAGTCCCCACATTCCACCCTCAACTTCACAAGGATGTGGGTGAGCTCAGCACTGCCGGACCTTGAGCAAAAAGAGCTGAGCAAGTCTTGGTGTAGGACCCCAGAGATTGCAATACCTTGTGAGGAACACAGACTCAGACCCCGCAGCCTCCCATGTGCCCATCCATCACCTGAGAGCAAGGAGGCTGGGCCAACCCATGAGCAAAGTGACAAGGAAGGACCTGATGGAGACAAAGGGCTCCCCAAGCACATCCTGGCTCACTCACCTCGCTGGGACCTGGCTTGGTGGGCGAGCCCTGGGAGCCAGAGATGAGGGAGAAGGGGCTGAGGGGGCTGGTGAGGCTGGCGGAGCTCAGTGGGCTGGCAGGGCTGTTGGAGCTGTAGGTGCCCGAGGGGCCGATGGCCACTGCAGAGAAAAGCAGAAATAAGTGCATGCACCATGGCACAGTGCCTTCAAAAGTGCTGTCACCAGGGATGTGTCATGCCGGGCTTTGTGCCATGCTGGGACGGAGCCATCTCACCTCTGTGCTTAGCAGTGTCGGTGCCTCGGGATGGGTTGTTCTTCCTCAGCCCCTCCATCACATCCTGGATCCGCCAAATCTCCTTCTGGATCTGTCGGTTCAGCATTTCATTCTGTGAAGGGGGAGAAAGGCAGCCGTCAGAGCAGCCCCCGCTGCCACCAGCCCCACACCCAGCCCTGCGCCTCCCATCCTGGCTGCATCCCAGTGATGGGGCCTGGGGTGTTCAGCTGGGACAGACACAGCCCTAGGGGGGGCTGAGCCATCACACCCACAGCTCAAATCCCACAGGGAGCTGCAGGCTGGGGTGGAGCTGGTGGAGCCCCCCGGCCCCCGTGCAGCCCCTCATCAGCACCCAAGGCAAAACACCCTCATCAGCACCTGCGTGCTGCTAGGCAAGGTCAAAGCAGGACGCTGAGCACCAGCAGCTGCTTGCAAATTAGCTCTCAGCAGAGGAACCAGGTGGCTTCCACCTGCATGGGACTGAGGACAAGGTGGGATGCTCACTTGGATATCCAGGTTCAGCTGCTCCCAGAGGTCATCGTGCAGGGCGGACACCTCGCTCTCCAGGGTCTCATACTCAGCTGTGCTGTTGGCCAAGGCCTGTGGAAGGAGTCAGGGGGATTGGGTTGGTGGATTTGCCCCCCAGTGCAAGCTCTGCTGGCTGCTCCATGCATTAGGGATGGATGGGTGGGGATAGGGAATGCAGAGCAGCACCATTACCGTGCTGGCCTGTGACAGCTCCACGCGGATGTTGATGAGCTGGTTCTGCAGAGACTCCTTCTTGTGCAGCAGCTTCTCAGGGTAGGCAGGCTGGCTCCCAAACATCTCCAGCTCCTGGTGTGTCCCCATCAGGGCACTCTCCAGACTCTCCTGAGGAGAACAAGAGGTGCTGCAGCTGTGAGCATCCTGGTGCAGGATGTAGCTTTCTCCCTTCTCAATGGGCCATGAATGCATGGGACCATGACGTGAGCACATCTCCCCCAGCCCACAGATGAACGCCAGGAAAGCAGGACACGCCACTTCCTTGCCATCCCCGTTGCCTTGCAGTGGGGTTTATCCCCAAATGCACTCAGCCCTGGGGCACTTGGTGTTGCAGCAACTTCATGCAGAACCATGCGCACCACAAACCTTCTCTGCTCGGAGCTGCTGCACCAGCCTCTCCTGCTCCCGCAGCACTTTGTTCTGCTCACAGAGCTTCCCCAGCAGCTTCTGTTCCCGGCAAGAAAAAGAGAAAGGGAAGGGTGAGAACCCAGAAATGGGGTGTGGGATGCTCCAGGCACCTGTGCAAACAGATCTGTGCTCAACCAGGGCCAAGAGGATGGACAGGAGTGGGCTGATCTCTCTCTAGGAGAGACAGGATGCAGCCAGGCCACAGAACATGGCATTGGTTGGATGGGACAATGTGTGGGTTTCAGCCTACAGGAAACAGGACACACAGGGACAGAGGCAATAGCACAGGACAGACTGAGAACACGCAGCACAGACATTTGCTCTTACATCAGTGTCTTGCTCGCTTATCTTGTAGGCATGCAGGGTCTCCCTGTAGGCTTCTGGGAAAGGCGTCGTCACCTGCAAGCAGAGCATGGGGTCAGCTCAGCTCCGGGGTCTCAGGGGCTGCCAAGGAACCCTGCAGGGAGGAGCAGCCCCTCTGCCCCAGCCCTGGGAAGCCCCAGTGCCAGCCCCAGTGCCATGGGCTGGGTGAGCAGCACCGAGCCAAGCTCTCTGCCTGACGCCAAGAGATGTCTCGTGACTCATTAACTGCCTGCCGTACAACTGCCACTGTTCCACGGGCAGGGAAATGAAGGCAGCAAGATTAAGCTGTAATCCCACTGAGTGGAGTCAGAGCGCCCATAAATCAGCTGCTGCATCAGGACCTGTTTACCATCCAGCTTCTCTGTGAGTCATTTGCCTTTCCTGGAAATCTAAATTACTAATGGGACCTCACCAATTAAATGCCTCCAAGACCTCGAGATGAAAGGCATAAGATAGGAAGAAGGAGATCATTATTGCTAGAAAGCTAGATGCTACTTCAGAGTGATTTAAAACCACAGGACAATGCTTAACAGACCTGAACCTGGGAAATGCCAGAGCCTGGTGGATGCAGATTCTGCACAGAGCAACCAAGGCATCACAACAGCTCCAGCTTCACCCTGAGACACAGCCCAGGGATGGGACCACACACCCTCCCCTCCTCATGGGGCATCAGCACTCTGAGCTGCACCCATCAGCACAGATGTCCCCAGGCTTTTGCAGTCTCTCCCATCTCCAGGCAGGAGAAAAGCAGCCATGTGCATGGGCTGCTTCTTCTCTCTGATGTTTCTTTGGTTGCAGATCCTTGGCTGGGCTCCTCCAGATCCACCTTCTGGTCACATTGATACACAAAAGCGTCCAAACACAGATGCAGAGCTCAGGACCTCTGCTTTCCCACCTTGTGCTCACAGGACCACAAGGATTTACAGGGCTGGAATGGCTCATGGATGGATTTAGCAAAGCCTGGGATGGACGAGCGGGACCCCCAGAGCGTGATGTGTGCCAGCACTGCATGAATGCTGGAGTTTGCATGAGCAGAATGGCAGGAGGTGACCTCAGGGATGGCATGGGGCGGCTGGCGTGGCCTGCCATGCTGGGGCATTAGCAAGGCTTACTTGCATGTAGAGCTGAGCCCTAGGGGAGGAGCTCTCCACCATCCTGTTCACCATACTGATCAGGGTTTCGCTCTCGCTCATCTGCGACAGACAGGGAAGGAAATGTCAGAGGTCAGCGGAGAGGTGAGGGCGCAGTGCTGGCCAGGAACCCTCAGGGCACTGTGCTGCAAGGTGCCACCTCCAAGAGATGTCCCAAGGGCTCGAGCCACCAGCAGACAGCTGTCCCAGGCTGAGAGCATCCCAGGAGCTGAAAGCTTCGTTGGGGATGAAAACAAACTGAACCCAGCCTAGGCTGGGCAGCAAACTGCACGCACAGACACAAGTTTGCACGATGCCCACTGTTTGCAACACACTGCATGGCCCCAGCAGACAGACAGACAGGTCAGGCCGACAAACAGCTCTGTGTCCTGCCCTTGTAGCAGAGGGATGGCCTTACTCAGGTGCGGATGGGGACAGCTGTGTCCCCCATTTCAGCTTGGTGGCTTCAAGCAGCAGAGCTGGGTGCTCCCGTGGGGATGTGTTACATGGGAGTGCTGCAGACAGAGGTGACGATGCCCTCGCAGCACAGATCCAGGAGCAGAGCCCGCTGGGGACCAGCACCAATTGGGGTGCAGCCAAGGGAGCCGACCGGTGACACATCACAGCTCCCTGGATAAACGCGGAGAGTGCAAATAAAGCAGTGAATTGTTTTCAAAGAGCTACTTGGCAGCACTGCCCTGAATTAGAGGTCAGCAGGAGAGGAGGAGGAGATGGAAAGCCTTTTTAGGGAGCATTTTAAAGTGCTTCGGTGAGGGAGCGTTGCCGCCGACGGCATTGAAATAATCCAGAGAGTTTTTATTGCACCGAGTGCTCCTGGGTGTCCCTGGCTCTGCTCCAAGGCAGACGCAGATCTCGGTGATTGCTGCACCGATGGGGATTCACAGACTAATGAGATTGTACTGGAGCAGCTCCCTCAGTGCAAACCCGGCTCCTGCAACGAGCACCAGGCGGCAGCAACAGCCGATGGCTGCAGACCCCGCATTGGTGGCAGCTGGTGCCGGCAATTCCCACCCCACCACTCCCACAGCTGATCCCCAAGGCTCTCCCTCATCCTGCTCCCAGAATGAGGTCAGCTCCCGGCTTTCCCTCAAACACCCCACAGCATGCCAAACTTCAGAGCTGTCACTTTAGGGCCGGTCACCCAATCCCAGCTCTGCATCCCACCTCTAGCTTTGGAGGATGCGCACGGTGAGCTTATCACCAGAGCACAGTGCTTGCCTTCCTCCCCCCTGCAGCACAGGGCGGATGCTGGGCAAGCCCCCAGCACCTCCGTGCCTACAGTTGCCATGTGCTGTGCCCAGCCCTGGGCCACCATTTCTGCAGCACTGATGCTGTAGGCACCCCCAGACCCAGGGATGTCCCCCCATTGCCCCTCGGCTCCAGCACACCACACAGAAGACACTGTCGGGGGTGGTTTTCTGCCAAGCAATGAACAACCCTACAGAGGGGGAGGATGGAGGAAGCAAACCAAAGATGACACGTGCTGCTTTAGTGCCAAGAAGGGTGAGGATGGATGTTAGGGGACGAGATGCTGCGCTGGGAGGGACGGGGACGCTGCTGGGGATGAGGCACATGGGGATGTAAGCAGCGTGAGGCTTGCAGCCAGCTCTGCCTACCTGCTGGTCCAAATACTCTAGGTTTCTTTGCAACTGAAGGTCTAAAAGTTCATCCTACCCGGAGCCAGCAGGCATGCGGCAAGAAACGAACACACAAAACATATAAAAGAAGAAGCAAAGCGGTTAGGTGAAGGCTGCAGAAATGCAAAGACCCCTTGGCTGGGGAAGCAAAGTGCCACCTCCTCTGCCCAAAGTGAGGAGGGCTGCAGATGGTGCAGGTCCTCTCCCTATGCTGGGTCTTTGTTCGCTGTCCCTACATCTCTTGCTGGTGAGGATGGATGGCAGCATGGACAGCTGATGAAAATTTTTGCTTCTCCCTCCTGCAGTGGCTGCTCCTGACATGAAGTTTCAGGGCTGTGCTGCACTGTGTGGACCTGCAGGTCCAGCTCCACGATCGAGGAGAAAAAATACCATCCAGGGACAAGCAGCAGCAGCAGCCCAAAGTGAGATACAAGGAGAGCAGAGGTGCAGGGAGCACGCCAGCCTCACCCCAGCCCCGGGGGAGCAGTGACAAGATGGGCATTGCAGAGCATAGGGGGGTGCAAGGGTGCTTCAGTGCACCTTCAACCCCAGCACAGGGTCAGGGGCTTTCATAAAGCACGGCCAGGAGGGACCAGAGGCATCAGTCCGAGCTCCACAGTCCCAACTTGCCCCATTGCAACCCATCTCCAACCCTCCGGAGCAGCCGTTTCCTTCTCATCCATCCAAGGCAGGGTGAGCTGTGCCCCACAACAGACCCTGCACCCCATCCCATGGGGCTGAGGGCAGCGAGGAGCACTTGGCTGTGAACCCCCCGGCTGTGAGCCCCCCAGCTCAGCCCATTGACATTGACAGCATACGTACCATCTTGTCGTGGACCGTGGGGGATGCGGGGTAGTGGTAGGGGTACATTCCTGCAGGGATGGGCCGCCTGTCACCCAGGTAGTCGTACTGAGGAGAGAGGAGACCACCATCAAACCCCATGGACAGGTGAGGGGTGCGTGGTATCTCCCTGTATCCCCTCTTTTCTACGCTGCACTGCTGCAAATTGAGGCAGATTGCTCCCCTCTGCGCAGAGCCAAGCCATGCAGCAGGGTCAGGGCCGGCTTTTTGCAGTGCAGCAGACATACAGGAGCATCAGCACGCCCCACTTGGGACTGCCTTGCTCATAGAGGTCCTAAGAGAGGACATAAAGCTGCACACCAAGGACTTGGTGGCACCTCGAGGCCAACACATGCACGCAGAGGGGACAAGCTGCGCTGCAGCATTCCCACCCTACAGCCCTCAACCAGGTTCCCCTCCACCCCGGCACACGCCAGCGCTTACCTTGGGAGAACTGATGGATCTCCTCATCATGAAGGTGCCGGGGTCAACATAAATCTCCTCTCCACGGGGCGGCAGCCGCTCGAAGCGAGCGCTGGGAGAGCGCACCGGGGAGTAGACCCGCGTGTGGCTGTAGGATCCCTGGCTGGGCGAGCGGGGCACGGAGCGGGAGCGGGGCTGCAGCGACATCCTCCGCAGCGACCCCGAGGCAGCATCCACCTCATCGAAATAAGTCGGCTGCCTACCAGGGAGCCAGACCGGGACATCCTGCCGGCCGAAGCCGGGGTGCTCCTTCCATTCCTGGAGCTGGTAGGGGCCCCCGTTGCGGAAGGAATGCCGCTTGTTGTTGTCCAATGCCCAGGGAGGGCTGACCCGCTCGTAGGCGGGCATGGAGCAGATGCTGTCGGGGCGCACGCTGGGTGGGTAGTACTGATAGTCCTCAGGGTACTGGGGTGAGTAGGGAGGGTAGTAGTCAGGCACCCGGCGAGACACGGGGTAAAACCTGGTGGGGCTGGAACAGAGGAGTGAGAACTGAGTGGTCACAATAGGCAAGGACACCCTTAGAGCAAGCAGCGTTGGGAAAGCTGACTGGTGTCCCTCGTCCTGGGGAAGCATGAGGTGATCCCCTCCAAAACCCACCCTGCTTGCTTTTTGGGGTATCCTACAGCTTGGAGCCAACATGATTTGTAGACACCCAAAAGGGGATATAATAGGTGGAAAAAGGCCAAATATTCCCAGAACATCACCCTGGAGAAAAGGAGAACATCCAGAGCCCCCACCGGACCTCTCAGCCCTTACCTGCGCAGCTCCTCGGGGGCCACGTTGCCCCGGCGCAGGTTCACCCACTGCTGCAGCTGCGTCATGGAGCTCTTACGCTGCGCGATTTTCTCGGGGTTGGTGCGGGGGGCGAAGCTGCGGCGATGGGCAGCGCTCTCCCCATCGGGTGGGGGGTAGGCAGTGCTGCCAGGGCGGCTGGGGGACGTGTAGGGCCAACCGTTGGGTTGGGGCGGCCTCTCTGTGCTCATCGGCACACGCGGTGCTTCGGGGTAAGGGCTGCCGGGCTCGGAGGGTATCTCTTGCCCGGCGATGCCGTTGGCTTTGGCCAAGGGTTCCTTCTTGCTCTCCATCCTCTCTGGTTTCCTCTCGAGTTTCTCTGAGCCACGGCCGTCGCCTTCACCCCGGGTCTTGGCGCTGGGGTCAGCTTTGGGGTGCTCGTGGTGCACAGTATTACGATGGTGGTGGTGGTGTTTGCTGGGGGGGATGTTCTCAGAATCCGTCTTCTCGTGTCTGGAGGGCACGGAGATGAAAGCAGAGCATTACCTTTCCTTCATAACGCCCTCAGGATGGCCGTCAACATCCCAACCCTCTTCCCACAGCCTCAGCGGGATGCTGACGCTCCCCAGTTCCATTCTGCTCCCATGCCCCCCCACCCCATTTCCAAGAGGCAGAGGAGCGTCTCCAGCCCTGTGCGACAGGGACAACGCTCTGACCTCTGGGTTGGGGGGATCTGCACCCGGGCAGCTTCGCCCATGGCTTGGATCCAGGATTCCTGCTCCTCTGTGTTCTCAGCACTGAAGAAGTACGTCCGGATGCCGGCGTGCTCGGCCTGGGGAGACAGGGACTGTTCGTTACTCGCCGGCACCTCCTCCACCCAGCACACCGTCACCTGCAGGAAGGCAGAGAAGTGGGGAGAGAGACAGACAGAAGGTGTGAGAGCTCCATCTCCTGCTTGGCAAGAGCTCCTGGTGCTGCAGTGCTCCGTCCTTCCCCCCCCAGGAGTATCCTCACAGCACTGGGTGGGACGAAAGCTCACTGTGATGCCCTCACCCACAGCCAGTCCGAGTGTTATCTATCCTTCATGCAGGACGAGGGGGAAGGTGGCTTCTTGATTCAGACAATGTTTTAGGGGGAAAAAGTTCACTTTGGGTTCATTTTCCATACCCACAGCCCACCCTGTGCTGTAGGCAGAGTTGGTTGCCCTGGGCCTTTTTGAAGCAACCACCTTCCCCCTCTGTGGAGAGGAACGGGAGGCAACAAGGAGGAAGAAATGGAAAAAAAAAAAGCAGATTTTTCCTCCTGAAAGACCTTCAGGGTTCAATTTTTATCATTTTAATTAACCAAAAACAAAAAGGAGGTTCTGATTAGAACCTTCCCTTGGGTTTCCATTTGGGGTTTCCACTTGGGGACAGGGACGCCTCCTGCCTGGTCCCTCCAGCCCTCATAGAGCTCGAGAGCTTTGAACGAGAGCTCAAACCAAACCAATTCCTCCCCAGGTTAGTGGGAGCGGGGTGAGCAAAGCATGCAGCCCCTCACCCTCTGCATGCACCCATAACACAAGCCGATGTACCTATGCTGGGTGCTGGCGTGGCTGACGGGAGCGCGGAGACCTCCTGCCCTGGGGGATCCTCGCCCACGGAGAGAGGAGGAAACACAGAGATGGGGTCAAAGCGCAGCGGGGGGAGCGGGGGCGCAGCCCTCGCTTTGCTTGGGGGACTGCTCAGCCCTGGAGGTGGATGGGGATCACTGTGACACCGCAGCTTTGGGACGTTCGGGTGTGTGTTGAGCATGGTGGGAGGGTCCCCAGGAATGAGAGAACCATAGCGTGGTTGGGTTGGAGGGGACTTAAGATCATCCATGCTATGGGCAGGCTGCTACCCACAGCTCAGGCTGCCCAGGGTTGCATCCATGATATCGGGCACCTCCAGGGATGGGACAAAGCCATCCACAGGCACCCCCAAGTGCACACGAAAACACAGCCCCTCGTCCTTAGAGCTCAGCTGGTGAATATCAGCCCTCCAGGGCTCCTCTCCAACCACATCACAGACCACCTCTGGGTCATTGCTCTGCTCCCAACACAGACAGACAGACGCAGCTTTCTGGGCATGGGCACGTGGTAATCACTGCTTGCAAGCACTCACCCTAAGCCATGCTTGCTCTGGCTTTCAGGGTGACAGCTACAAAAATGTGCCCTTCAAATTGCAAAAGCATCCCCACAATGAACTTAGAGCAGTGCTTGAGGTGTTGGAGCCCACAGCTGGCAACGTGCATTGCTCACGGATGGGAAGCCCCATGTGCAGAGGTGAGGGCTGCAGTGCCCTAACCCCAGCTCCAGCACTGGGGGTTGGCTCAGTATTTCTATTGATGGATGGATCTGTCTGGGTGCACACACACTGAGGGAGTGCAGAGGTGCAGGAATGGGTCTGTGGAGCTCACGAGCAAGAAAGTGTGAGCTTGGCTTTGCACAAGTCAGGCTGTGCATCAAGGCAGCAAGGAGGTGCTCAGAAACCATGGCAGTAGGGGTGGCAGTGCCCCAGGGTGCACACTGGTACCCACCAGTGCTGTGTGAGCACCACTGAACATCGTGTGGAGGGGACAGATGGGGTCTGCTCAGGGACAAATGTGGGACTGCCATCCTCTGCCTTCCAGCTCTCCCCTCCTACATCCACTGCAGGGAGGGCTGATGAGCAGCAACTAATGCACCAGTCAAAGCAAGCCAAAAAAAAAATGGAGCTGGGGATGCTCTGTGCCTGATAGAGAGAGCTCTGCTGAGAGATGCCACTGGAATGGGCAGGATGGGAGCAGGGCTTGGAGGGGAAAGCATTCCCAGCCCACACAGTGGGAGGTGAAGCCGCTTTGCCCCCTTCATGCCTCAGTTTCCCCAGCACATCCCAGGGGATTCCGGCAGTTCCCCTCTCCACAGCTGGGCTCTGCTCCACACCCCACCACCAAGAAAGCGAGAGGAGGGCACAGCAGGGATCCCACCAGCATCAGCCCCCCCTCTCCTCCAAGCCCCACACGGCCCCACACTCACCTTAAAGGTGTGCTTCCTGCTGATGTTGTCAGAGGGCTGCACGGCTGCCACACGGAAGCTGAGCAGGGGGATGCTGCCCAGGATGCTTTCCTCCTTCTCATCTGGTGGGCAAACAGGGGCGTTTAGAGGCAAGGTGGGACCCAGCAGGCACGCATGGTGAGCAGCCCACCTGTGGCAGTGCGCTGCCTTCCTGTTGCTTCGCCCTCCCCTGCAAGCAGTGCCGCTGCTCGGCACACCAACCTGCTCAATAATTCATGCTCGCCCTCGGCTGCCAAGGAGAGCTGAGCTGAGTGAGCTGCCAGGAGGCGGGCGAAGGGCATTAACCCCTCAGTGCCCCAGCATGGTGAGCACCCACAGGAGCAAGCACCCATAAACGTGAGCACCTGCAAAAAGCAAGCAGCTGCAAAGAGCAGAAACACCTGCAAAAAGCACAAACACCCACAAAAGCACGCAGCCACGAAAAGCAAGCACCTGCCGAAGCAAAAACACTCACAAAAGCACCCACAGAAGTGAGCACCCGCAAAAGTGAGCACTTGCAAAAAACAAGAACACCCACAAACGTGGTACCTTTGTAGTAGAAGAGGCAGCGGTCCACCAGCACGAACCAGCGCTTGTTCCACTGCTTCACCCCCGAGCTGGCCTGCAAGAGAGTAGCAGTGAGATGCTGGCAGCACGCAGGCATCGGGAGGAGCAGCCATTAGGAGGAGCACTCCCTCGGGATGGAGCACAGCGGGGCTGGGGCACCTGCTTGTAAAGCCAACCGCTCTTGGTGACGGCGGCGTTGGGGTTTCTCTTCATGGAGTTGGAGCGCTTCCCGAAGGCGATGCCCTTACGGGAGGAGCGCGACGCCTGCAGAGGAGGAGAGGATGAGCTCAGTGCCCGGGGGGGACCCACGCTTCCCGTCTGCTCCGTCGTTGCCCTCTGTGCCACGTGGACCCGGGCACGCACCCGGCCTCCGGGCCGCTCCGGAGCCACCTCTGTCACCATGGTGTGGTTGGAGGGTTCGCTGCTGTTGCTGCTGTTCGCCGGGCGCTTGCTGCCTGCTTTGCTTGACATGTCCAAGGTCGGCCTGTTGGCACAGATGGGGCTGTCGGTATGGCTGCGTTCCCACATTCCCCTCTCTCCCCAGGCGATGTTTCCCTATCCCTCAGCCCACCCTGGTCCTGAAACCAAAAGGAGGTGGGACCCAACCTACTTTTGCAAGTCTAATCTTGAGTTTTCTTCCGGGAGCTGTCCTGTCACTGGGTGCAGGAAGGTGTTCCGCCTTTCATTGTGGCTGCAAGACACAATGCAATGGGCTCTGTTAGCACCCAGGAAGGGGGAGGATGGGGTCCAAGGGTGCACAGAAACCCAGCGAGGTGCTGCCCACCCTCCTGTGCAAAGCAGAGAGCTCCATCCATCCCTGCTTGCTCCCCAAACCCCTTTGCTTTTAGCACTGTTCTGCTGCTCCAGCACCAGAGCTTTGTTGCGCTTCTTGCACCATTTGCACCGCCTTTCACCTGCGCTTCCCAGATTGCATTCATCTTGCCAAGAGCCGGAATGAGGTCTCTGCCAGCTGAGACCTCATTACTTCTGCTGGACACATCACACAGCAGCGGCTGTCGCGTGGTGAGACATTTCCATAACCCCCCCAGCTGTCAGAATAAATCGCTGCAGGAGCAGCAGCCGAGGCTCAGGCTGGGCTGAGCTGAAAGCATCAACGCCGACGTCACATCCTCTGCTTGGGCTCGCTGGTTTCAGGGCTATTTGCCACAGTGCCAGGGTCACAAAGCATCTGGCCCCACTGCTGGTGGGGGAGAAGGGGGCTCTCAGTAGATCCCCAGGTGGGGTTTTGGCAGCCAGCTGAGCCCAAAATGCAGCAGATGCCTCAAGTTGGGTAAGGGCTGCCACATTCATCCTGGGAAGTTTGCTTTGCAACAGGGGAGTGCAAATGACCCCCTCTTGGTGACAGTCCCCCAAAACTGCTGGGCATGGGGACACAGCTGCCTATGGCCACCCATGAAGACAGCGTGCAAACAGCCCGTCATGCTGCCCAAGAGCTGAGTGTCAGCAAAACAGGGGAAGTTTGAGCAAGAAAACATCTGCCAAGACCATCCCATCCATGCACGCTTCACCCCGAGGCTGGGCTGCAGCCAGGCTCAGGGATTGCCACTGCTTTCTGCCAAAAAGAGCCCTGCTGGGAGCTGCCCCCATGCCGGTCCCACCCTGGTCCTGAACCCAGCTCTGCTCTCCCCTTTGCTGGGCATTACCCTAAAAATCTGCAACCTGCAGCGAGGGGCAGCACCCGCTCCCCTGGCACCGGGTTTTTCTGTGCTGCCAGCGCATCTGATGTGAGTCCTCTGCAGAGGCAGCGTCCCCAACCCCTGCTCCCAGCTCGGAAGGCACCAAAGGGGCTTTCTGCCACCATTTGTCCCCAGTTTGGAGAGCCACAGCATGGCAGTGACAGGGCAGCTCACGATGCTGACACCGAGGGAGGGTGCATGCAGTGAGCAAGCAGCACCCTGATCCTCAGCCCTGCATAGTAGGGGCTGCCCTGAGTCACCAGTACCACCAAGCCTCCACTGAGCACAACCCCCAGATCCCCCAAGTCCCCAGCCCTGCCCACCACCCGCACACTGCTGTGGGTTTCTCTGCCCAAAGGCTGAGCTCTGCCCCAGGCCAAGCTGCCTACCCAGCATCACAGCCCCTGTGCCTCCTCCCGGCACCAACCCAGGCACTCCCGCTCCCTCTCTATGCCGTTCCCACCCCCAGGCCTCAGAAACATGAGAGAAGCTCCTTAACCCCCCCCAGAACCATCTGTCTCGGCTGACCCTGCTCCAGAAACTCCGAGTTCACATCGCCTCCCAAGCACTGCAATGCAGCAGTCCCTACCCTGGCTGAGGGTCCCCAGCCACCGCCACCACCTCCGTACCACCCGACCTCCCCCTGCCCACCCCGGCGGTTCCTACCTCACCCTCCGATCCGCCCGAAACTTCAGCATGATGCCGTGGCCCTCCGAGCTCAGCGCCGGCTGCCGGCTCCCACCATGGCAGCAGCGGGCAAGGCAGGTCCCGTGCCACCCAGCGACCGCTTATGGCCCACGTGCCACGGGCGCGGCGGTGCCGCACGGGCAGGGGGACACCGGCAGCGCTCGGTGGGGCTCGGTGTCCTTTCCCAGCTGCGCCAATCCGCGCCGGTGGCATCGGTGTTTCCCAAGGTGGCAGCGGTGGAGCTCAGAGAGCGGCTCCCGCGGGCGCTGGCAGCCCCGATGCGGTGCGGCTTGGCGAGGCGGCAAAGCGGGGACAAGCTTGCGGCTCCCGTTCGCGTCCCCAAGCAGAGGAGAAGCGAAGGGCAGCGCAGAGCTCGCCGCCTGCCTCCCCCCCCCCCCCCTCCAACCCAGGTGCAGCGATCCGGCGAGCAAAGGGCGAGCGGGGCAAGATGGGGGCTGCGGGGTCCCCCCCCCCCAGCACAGAGCAGTGTGCTCAGGGAGGGGACGGTGCGGCGGTGAAGAAGGGAGCCGCGCGGTGCCGGCGCTGCCGCTGCCCTGCATTCGCTGTCTGCGTCCCTTCCCCCTGCTTCTGTCCCCAAACCCTCCCCGCTCCCTCCCTGCTGCGCTTCCGTCCCTTCCCAGGTCACATCAGGAGAGCAACGGGACCCCCATCAGCACCAACCACCGCTGTGCAGCACAGGGGATGGGGACCGCGTGGGGCTTCGACACTCGGGGATGGGGTCTGGGGAGCCCTTTGCAACCCAGCAGAAGAAGGGGGGAGGCACAGACGGGGTTACCCAGCCCTCCCCCTGGGCACGGCGCTTTGAAAAACCAATGCGAATGCACCAGGACTGTTATGATAATGCACTGAGATGTCAGCGCTGCCTTCCCTCCCCTCCAAGGAAACCTCCAAAGAAGGAAGCGGAGCACAGCAAGCAGCTGGCCTCCATCACACCACGTCCCTGCTCTGCCGGTGCCCTGGGACCACCTCGGGACACGGCCAGCATGCAGTGCTGCTCAGCCCAGCGTCAGCAGCATTGCATCATTCACCTGCTCCTCCTGAAATCAGGACCTGGAGGCACAGACTCCCTCACTGGCCAGACTGGGGTGAGCAGGGTCAGTGCTGGAGCCCACCCCAATGCTAGTGCCAACCCCAATGCTGGTGCCAACCCCAATGCTCACCTTGGCCAACACAAACAGTCCTTGTCACTGCCAGGAGGGTAGTGGGGAGAAGCTGGGGATGAGAACCACGTCACCAGCAGCAAACCAGAGGAAGGTCCAGCAAGGCTGAGATGGCGGCTCCCAGTCAACCCTGTGCACCCCTTTAGAGCACCATTGGCTGACACTGCTGTGAGGGCAGCCAGGAGCAATGCACAGCTCCTCTTGCTGGCACGCTGCTGGCTGTGGGGTGGGACACGTGCACTCATCCACACCACTGCAGCTCCCCAATCACTGCCACCATCTGCTGCCAGCGATCAAGGTCCCCCAACGGCCCATGGGCACGTGCCAACCCGCTGCTGTGCACCCAGTGCCAGCACCAACACCAGAGCCAGCAAACACCCTAACGCTTCACCGCCTTCCCCATCCCTGGTGCCACTCAAGGGTGGCACAGAGCTGCTCTCAGTAGTGGCTTCAGGAGCTGTGAAGTGGGGTTCAGCCTTGGCTGTGTGGTCTCAGGGCAGCGCTGTTCTGCCTGTGCCAGCTGGGCCATGTCACAGCCATCAGTCACCCAGGGTGGCCACGGCCATGGGCAAATCTGTGCCAAAGAGAGCAGCCATACACTGGGGCTCTGAGCAGCAGCTCTGGGTGGGGGCTGCCTTGAATCTCTCAGGTGAGAAAAGCTGGGGCTTTTCCTTAGGGTAAACACACACACACAAAAAAGCATATTCTCGATCTCCCATTGCTTTTTTCCAAAAGGTAGGGAGAAAGGGAAGGTAATAAACACAGGAAGTGAAGAACAAACTTTCTCTGGGTGCTGCTTTCCT